TTTGTTCATTTATATGTACCTACTCAAAATTTTACTCTAAAGATATTCGTATAAATACCTTATCAGGTGTAACGACTTGTTTCTTTCCTTCAACTTTCTCTTTCCATTGATCATACCTTTTTAGCTCATAGTCAATGACATCCATACATAAAGATCCAATTTTGTATTGAATAATAACTGGATGAAATTCGTTATATGTTGAAAAACAAAAGAAAGTGTAGACTATGTTTGTGCTGAGTTCAATGCTCCTTTTCCATTCTTCCCTTAGAACCCTTGAAAGTGCGCTAAGTAATGCCTCTGAAACAAAAAAAAATTAAAAGGCTTCTGTTGCTAAAAAAAATAAGAATAGGTACAGCATGTAACAACCCTTTTTCAGGAGTTTGAATTAACTAGTAGATATTTTAAGGGGAGTCTATTCTAACCACAGACTGGGCACAACTCCAGACTGTTTTTTCACTGATATTTTATAAGGCCCAAACACAGACCAAGAAATAAAAAAGTATGTTTTCATTTGTTATACCATTAAAGTTGTTATTTGTGACGATTAAATAATTAGTCTTTACCTATAAAATTGCCAATCTGCCTTTCTGGTCTTTCAAATCACAAGATTTTTTGGTGGACAATCGGGTAGTTTATCAAATAGTAATTACTTCAACTTAAAAAACCATCAAAGTAATCACACGTTCACTATCAAGTGTTACGATATACTTTTACTATAAGTATTCGTATTTTTTAGATAATTCAAAAGAAATAAGTACTTTTAGTACTCATGCTATCTGACGTCAAAAATTATGACGTCACAAGGTGCAACAAAATTCTTAGAAACATGTCGTTGACTATTCGGAAAGATTATCTATCGGATTGGAGTCATTGAGAAATTAAGTACTTTTCCATAGTTTTTGTTCTTGTATCTAAATATTTTTCATCATCAGTGCAAGGGCCACTGACACCCCGGGCGAAAATATTGTGGCGCCCACTTGAGGGAAGCAATATCAAGTTTTTTGCTGATCGTATTAATATCGTTAGTCACCCCTCGACCACAAACCGTCAAAAACTAAAAAAAATCTTAATAAAAAATATGCACAGAGCGTAGAGCACAGTTCTGAGGGTTTGCACCAGGAGAGGCAAGAGATTTCAACTTCTGACCTTGGCACCCCCAGAATTGTCGCCCTGGGCCAATATTGACTAATTAAAAATATGACGTATACAGAGAAAACGTTGTGCAAACGAACTCAACACCCTTTATTCATTTGAAATTACCACCCTTTATTGAAATGCGAATGTGGCTAAGGAGCAAAACAGTATTGGTCCATTTGCGTAAAATTGACAAGAAAAAATCCTGACAAATAGGTAGGTAACCCACAAACTCATCGATCGCCAGTGCGACTGCGAAGTGCGTATACGCGTCGAATCGTGCTTTGCACTGCTCATAAGGCGTGCAAATGGAGGGATTCTGAAAGACATTGTTAACTTGTAAAAAAGAAATGGGGAAAGATAGTATATGTTAACAGGTGTGTATTACACCTCCTAAAAATCACAGCTGTAAATGGATGCTGTGACGAACTAAACACGATGATGGTAAAACTTTGATCAAATGTTCGGCTTCACTGCTCCTGCACGACAATGCCCGACCTGAGCAGATTGTCTCCAAGCAACAAGAGCTGGGGATGGAAGTTCTCTCCGTCATCCGCCAGACTTTCCCGGCTTCTGGTTTTCCCAGAATTTGTTTTTTTTTTTCTTATGGTATAAGTCGACAAACGAGCAGACGGATTACCTGATGGTATCGGCCCAATCGGCGCCGCCCATGGACAACCGCAACGCCAAAGGAGTTACGAGTGCGTTGCCGGACTTTTGGGGATAGGGGTTGCGGATATAAAGATCGGGAAAGGATAGGGAAAGGGGCGGGATTGGACCTCCGGTCAAGCCAGCCCAATCTTGCCGAAGCTTGGCTCTCCCACTTGGATAACTTATTAGCAGGAAAACAATACAATACCAGAGAGGCAGTGCAAAGAGTCTATGAATAATTTATTAGCTTACATCTAGCTTTTTCTCCAAGACCATCAATAAGCTACCAATGCTTTGGCAGAGATACATTGGTTGGAGTTGGTATATTGATTTTATATACTTGCATAACACTGTGTTCAAATGTATATGTCTCATCAGGTGTGGGTTTAGACGTTTTTGCCATACTTATAACTGGAAATAAGTATAGCAGCTCACACATAAGTCCCATTACAATAGAAAATTTTCCGTGGTGTTTGGTGACTGGGCTTCTTCCAATTGTACAATCTCATTAGTGCCTTTTAGGCTTAAGTCATTCTATCTCCTGCATTAATTTTTCCGAGGGAAGTGGAAACCATTTAATTTTTTCTCCAAAATAGTAGGACAGGACAGCTATGGGGGATTGGCATTGGTAATATATAATACAGTAGATGCTAACTGTCAAATTCAATACTTTTATCCAAATGACGAAAACAATATTTTCTAAGAAAAATTGTATGAAACTCCAAATTTAGACAGCATAGTATTTGTGTCAAATTGCTCTCAAGTCTAAAAAATATTTTAAAATTTGTGTATCAACAGATAGATGAATAAGACTATAGTTATTTTTCAATATTTTATTCTATTGAAACAGCAAATTAAATTATTTTCACTCTACTAAACTACCCAATTGCTTCCTGACAATATGGCACATTTTAACAAGATTATAAAAACTAGAAATAAGTTAAAGTTCGACGGGCCCATAATCTGCCGTCACTACTTGACACTGGCAGTATAGTCGACAACATTAAATTGGAGACTCGGTTGCCATAAAGAAGAAAAAAAAAAAAAAAAAAAACTAGAAATTATTATTTTACCAATTAAATAGGAAGCTCTTTATGTGTAGTTACTACTACTTACCATTTCGTGCTAGCTCTATCAAATTATCAGGATTTCTAGCAAGTTGCAATATTAGAGCAGATCCTTTAATTTTTTCTGGTATATCATCATAAAGTAGTTCCACATAGTCATCAATGCAATTTAATACAGCAACTGGTACACTCTCTACTGGACTCATCTTTAGAAGGAATTGAACTAGAAAGCAGCAAAAAAATAAGGATCATCAAAAACATATACTTAAAACCTGTCATAATCTCAAGTTCATTTGACTTAACTGTAGTAGGTAATGAATTTGCCTGTAAATCTATCTATGCCTAAAAATCACATCATAAGATTAATAATGAATTTAGAAAGTCAAGGCAATCTTTGTTTGACAGAATATTTCATAATAGTAGGATGTATAAAATATTACGTATCACAATTCTATTAGTTCGGAGCTAAAGTGGATTATCATTTAAAAACTTATTCGTAACACACCATTACTGTTTGAATCTAGATAGTTAAAATGTATGGATAAGACACAATTTTTCAAATAAATCCAACAAACTATGACATCACTAATCAATATTGTCTAATATGTTTAAAGAATTCATTGTTTTCCTTTAAAAAATAAGTTGCCATTTTTAATTATATTGAACAATTTACGCACCTGGAATAAATTTTTAAACCTGGCCTGCCAATCTTCTTCAGTTTGGTTTTATTAACAAATTGGATGATAAGACAAATACGACAAAAATCAATACAAACGAAGCTGTTTTTCAATAAAACACATGTCAATGTCAGATGGGAAGTCCTTGGCTATCTGTCAGTACTAGGCACCATAGAGTAAAGTAATAATACTAAAATAAAATTGCTAGGCACTTAATATGCTTTTCTATGGCCTAAGCTCAGAAAACAGAACAATGTTTGTTCTGTATTCTGAAGGCCTAAGTGAGTTATTCTCCAAAAAACCTTAACTTTTATTTAACAAGTCATTATCCTCCCAGGTTTTTAAGCATCTTAGTAATTTGTTTTATACAATATTTTTAATCGGTTGCTTGTAAGCAGTGGTGAGATTTAATTTAATAAAATAATTATCTGTGTTTTAATCAGCAGACTCGTTAATTTTCGGTTGAGGATAATGACATTATTATTTTTTTTTTAATTGATGTGAAGAATCACCCTACGTACCTACTGTAAGTTTGTCCCTAGTTGACCATAGTTAATTCCATGGGTTTGTCTGTCAAACGTGATAGTCATTATAATAAATATCTGGCTGTTTCCTTTCACAAAAAGAGAAGAGTTAAGAAGGTTTTATGTACACCTTGTTTTGATAGGCAAAACCATTAAGTTACTTCGCCCACGGTAGGTACATAATATGGTAATTCTATGTTATGTTAGATGCTATTTTCAGATATATGTATATTAGATGGCCCGATTTTGGCTATTACAAAATAAGGGTTGATCGTAGAAGGGTGACAATTGAGGATTGTATGTATTTTTGTATGTTGTATCATAAAAAATAGAAATTAAAAACTTTGTCTAAAACATAAAAAAAAATAGGACTTGACTACCCCTAACATTTAGGGGGATGAAAAATAGATGTTGGCTGATTCTCATAGATACTGGATAACCACAAAAAGTTTCATCAAAGTCGGTCAAGCCGTTTCGGAGGAGTATGGCAACGAAAACTGTGCCACGAGATTTTTTACATATATTAGATATATATAGTTGATCTTAAATGATATTCCTGTATACATTATGCTAAATAATTTGCAATTAATCAAAATTAAAGAAGAAGAATTAATGTGTTACTGTTAATGTAGTGTAGTTTGTTTCTAAAACATAAGTAATTTATGTACTACTGAATAAAATGTTTTGTCCGATTTCATAATCAAATAATAATTGTTAAGCCAACTAAAGAAACTTATAAGTAGTATTTCTTTAGTTGGCTTATTGTAATGAGCACACTTGATTTTAGTCTAATTTTTAGTTAGTTTAAGGTCGTAATTGTTGCATTTGGATAAACCTTGTCAAAATAGATTATGTAAGTTTTTGGTAAAAACAAATAAATAAAAATTTTTCATCGAATAACCATAGACTAAACGAATGTTACTAATGAAGTCATCAGAGCCGCAGTCCATCACTATCCGACCAAGACAAGACAAGACGTCTACAATCTATAAATTATTGTACTCTGTGAACACAACACTCAAGACTCAACAGTGCAGTGACTAATTTCAGGAATTTAATATTTCTAATCAATCTAAAAATTCGATTTTGTCGCCTGTTCTCAGAAGTAATTTTTCGTTCTAAATATTTTAAGCTTTTAAGCAGTTTTTGTGATATTAAAGTGTATGATAAAAGTTTATATTCGCGTTATGTATGTTCCGTGACGATATAACATTATTTGTGTATTTCCTTTCAGCGAGATAAGAACAACGATATGAGATAATTTGAAGGACTCCTGTCCTTTGGATCGCCTCATTAAAGGTAATTTCTTTTGTAATATTAGATTCACATTTTGTGCTTCACTAAATGACCATGATTACATACTTTCATTACTGTTTATTTTGCAATAGTTGTCAATGAACATGATATACATTACATTAAAATCCATATAAGTAATTAAATAGTCTTGCTATATTATTGATTATTACTTTGGAAGCGCCTGAGCACTATGATTGTATGTGAGTAAATGAATTTATATTTTCATAGACAGTACTTTAGCAGGATAACAATGATACATCACCTGTACCTACCACAATTGGTTTAAAAAAATATCTGGACCATTATGTAGACAATAAGCTAAATTGTTAGTAATCAAGAAGCTATTCCATATTAGTTGAGTCATGAGGGCTAAAGAGGTCATTTAGTGATAGTGAGATTCACTAAAAAATATTGTTTATATTATGAATGTTTGTTATAGGTGAACAAATCATAAACTATAATGCTAATACTATAATAATATGAACTGATCAATAAATCACAATGACTGAAACAGTACCAGCTTTAACAACTCCAATTTCCCTGTCAACATATCATCAACTCAGTCTTACAGGTAATAAAATATATTTTTTCTTTAGTAATTTGAAGTTTTTATGTGTGTAGGTATGTATTTTAATCATCAAGAAACAAATGATCAAATGATTAAAGTACTTATATTAATATTATATAATGTGTGTGTTCTTCTATTAAAATAATAATTAATCCCTTATAGTTGAATCAGCAAACATCAAGAATTCTGGGCTTTTCAAACCAAATCCATATTTACAAGTGATAATAGATGACAAAATATCAAGACGCACTGAAGTCATAAAGAGTACTCTGCACCCAAAATGGAAAGAAGACCTAACAGTGCTTGTAACACCACAGTCCCAGCTATTGTTCCGGCTTGCAGATTACCACAGTTTCAGAAAAGATAATGTTATTGGTGAGAAGAGAGTCAATCTGCTAAAAGTTTTGCTATATTGTAATGGAAAATGTGATAACGTGGAGTTGATAATAGGTGAATATAACATTACAATTTAATATTTAAAAGTGTTTTTGGTAATAAAGAAATTAATTGATTTATGTAAAATTATTGCTTAGATATTGCTTTAATCATAATGTAGTAATCTGAATTATGACAAATTGCATTGTGTAATTATAAAAGTAAAAAGTTAATATATTTGAGAGTGTTTTGTTTCTATTGTATGTAGAACTCATTGGCCGCATGCTACTCTCATGAGACCTATAGAGTTAAGCAAATGTTGATATTGAACCTTATTTTTGTTTTATATTTCAGACTTGATGAAAACTGTGTCCCAAGAAAATTCAGCTAGTGTAAGTGGTGAAGTAAAAGCAGCTGAATTGGTGGTGCTTCTGGATGGATTACGAGTAGACCCATCAGTTTTAAGTCAGTCACGTGAACTCCTTGGAGAATCCGCCAACAGCACTGGCCCTCTAAATGATGGAGTGAGGGCAAGGATAAGAATTCGGAACAATGAATCTGCAATGAGATCTATTGTTAGATCACAAAATCTTCGAGTATGTTAAATCTAAGTTTTATTTTGTGAATTTGTCAGATTAGAAGAAGATTTTTCATAAACTATTTATTTTGTATATGTAGCCTCCACCAGGCCCGCCGCCGTTAAGCAACGGCTCATTGCAGCATGGCGGGCCGAGCGGAACGAGTGGCGTGAGCGGTCCAATGAGCTCTAGCTTGGCGGGAGGCGCGGGCGCGCCTGCCGAAAGTGGGGCTGGTCCGTCTCATGCCGAGGCTGAGCCCACTGGGGCCGGCCTGCCAGTTGTCTATGCCAACCCTGCTGAGGAGCCTCTACCAGCTGGCTGGGAAATGCGCTATGATGTTTATGGACGAAGGTAATAATATTTTCTGAACCTGGAATGTTTCAACTTAAGGTGTTGTTTATTTGTTACTTAATTTTTGACAATAATATTGCGACGTCTGTCGTACCACAGCCCCGGCCTGGAGTAGAAGAACAGGGTAGTGTAGTAGTCAGTAAGAGTTTGACAGTCCCTGTCGACATGCATGCGTGTATGTCAAGGCTTTTTGTTGTATTGAAATAAGCAAGTAGCAAGTAAGGCGAGCGTGTGTGCAGATACTACGTGGACCACAACACGCGGTCGACGTCGTGGGAGCGGCCGCAGCCGCTGCCGCCGGGCTGGGAGGTGAGGCGCGACGCGCGCGGCCGCGTCTACTACGTGGACCACAACACGCGCACCACCACGTGGCAGCGCCCCGACACCGAGCGCCTGGCGCGCTTCCAGCACTGGCGCGGCGAGCGCCGCCACGTCGTGGCGCAGGGCAACCAGCGCTTCCTCTACCCGCACCCGCAGCCGCCGCACCAGCCTGACTCCGACCACGATGCCAATGCGACCGGTAACCTTCTTTTACTGCCTATACCTGCTTATCATTATCTCAATTCACGAGCTATTCGTAGCGAGGAAGTATTTGTACCTATTTTCGCTTATTAATACGTAACGGACGTTGTGTAACTATAAGGTAAACTATGCGTTTGTTAAAATTGTTTTATGTATAGAGAAAGATAAGTTATGTAAACTGAATAGTTATAGGGACAAGGCTCTTTGTACATATGTATTTATAATATTATAACATTGCTAGCATACAAAAACAAAAGTGAAAAAAAAAATGGTAAAAGAACAAGTGCTATCTTATACAATCATGCATATTAATGTTATCATAACCACGTAACAATCTTATCAACCTAATACCATTCCACATATGCGGACTTACACTATAAAAATAATGATAATACCAGAATTAATTATTCATTTGTTTGTTTCGAGAATATTTATTTTCTCCTGATTATAGAAAATCCTAGTACTCACCTTCGATATAATTATACCTATTAAATTACGTGTTTATTCTAATATGTATTACAAAGATACATTTTTAATTACCAGAAGGATTCGCAAAATCGCAAGTACCTACATAGCTGGAATGGATTAATGTATTGCAGGATGCAACAGGATCATGCATACTATGAAATACTTAAGAGTTGTACTTATTTCTTTAAAACTAATTTTGCGAAAAATACGTGTTTTTTATTAAAATACTATTATTAAAGAAAGGCAAAGGAAGATCAGTCGAACATAATAAAAAGTCTTTTTATCGTAAAATTAACTTGATAAAAGAACCACACACAGTTTAAAACTGAAGACAAAGCAAGTCTTTTTGAAAAAAATTAGGTATATCCTGTTTGCGTATTATTACCAGACTTAATAAAAAGCCGCTGACTTACTGACTGACTGACTGAAGTTTCATAAGAATCGGACAGCATAGCCCTGTTTACTATTGCCACAGATTAGGCACCGTGCAATTTTACTACAAAAACAGTGTTTTAATCTATAATGATGATGATGATGATGAAAGTACAAAAATCTTGAAGGATAGTTTCCGATAAATAAATAAGTATGTATATTGTATCCAGTTTAAAGTCATAAATCAAAAGTTGTTATTTATATGTTTAATACAAGGTTGTTGTGTTAAAAATAATCATGGATATACATTTTTAAATTATAGGAGGTTGTATTTTTATATCCGAATAATAAGGTTTCAGACCCGGAACAAAAATTTGTGGATAACACAAAGAGTTGTTCCGTGCGGGAATCGAACCCGCCACAAGTTGCACGGCAGTCAGTTGCCGAGCTACCGCGCCAACCGTGCAGTCAAGTTGTTTGCTGATTCCAAGTAAACTTACATTAACAATTTCGTCTTTCATTTATCGTTACACAGAGCCATAGAGGATATAACCATATCGTCATTGCACATTGCATTGTAGAAAGTTCTGACAAAAAGCTTTTTGTCTCAAAAAAAATTTAAAGTATAAGTAAAATAATTTCTAACAAAAAAACTGACTTCAAAAAGTTAACTAAAAAGCAGAAAATAAATTTCCTTTGTACAAAGTAATATATCTACATGTTTTCATTTAGGTAAATAGAAAATAATATTAATAACTATTTTCATAATCTTGAAGTCGGTGCCAAGTAAGTGCCAGGCGCCAAGTAAAAAATGATTAGTAGGTACCAATCAATACATGTTTCTAATACTGTTGTTGTTTGGTATGTAGCAGTAGATTTACTGCATAACTTCATTGTGACACATGTGCAAGGTGCAAAGTTTTCATCGATATAAATGAATTAAGTCCAAACACGAGGTAGTTACTGTAAACTGTTCAGGAGTTCCCTTAGCCCTTCCTTCGTTCTCATCATCAGACCCCTAATGACAGTCACTACCAGTCTTGGTGCAAAGTGCTCACCAAACTCCCTGATGTTGAAGATCCCTCGACTGTCTTCCGGTTTCATCATCAGGTCGGGTGAGATGATGCCTACTTAACGTAAATACCTGAATAAATTCAGAAAATATATACTTAAATCATGCCGACTGTCCCTATAAAATTCCCCTCAATTTTTCTGGATTTCCATCATCAGATCCTGACCTAGTGAATATGGGACCACATGGAAATCAACCCTAATGAACAAAAAACAAAACATATCAGTCCAGGCGTCTTCGAGTAATCGGTGAACACACAAAAACAAAATATAAAAAGAAAGATCCCGACGAATTGAGCCATTCCTCCTCCTTTTTTTGAAGTTAGAGAATAAAACAAAATTCTAACGATATCGTTCGAGTGGCAGTAAGTAGCTCCTCGATTACCTCGATAGAGATTGCACTAGAGTGGCAGAGGACTTCAACTCCGGATCTTGGCGCACCTTTGGTTATGTCGTCCCATCGCGCCCTTTTACCGTGAATATGTTCTCTAGATTTTGATATGTGCCTAATCTTGTCAACAAATAATTTTCTAAGTAAACGATAGACACTGTTTATGTTAATTTAGTGTTACTTTTTAAATTTCTAAAATTGTAGTTGGTACTCAATGTCTTAAAATAAGAAATGTAATGCAGGGAGCAGTGGCGTGGCAGGCACGAGTAGCGCGAGCGGTGCGCTGGCGACGGGCGCGCCGGGCGTGGCAGCCAGCGTGGCGGCGGCCGCGCCCGCGCCCGGGCCCGCCGCCGCAGGCAGCTCGCCCGCGCCCGACGACTCGCTGGGCGCGCTGCCCGCCGGCTGGGAACGCCGCGTGCAACCCGACGGCAGAGTCTATTACGTTAATCACAAGAACCGAACCACGCAATGGGAGGATCCTAGGACTCAGGTATCTAACTCATCTACTCTAATTACGTCACCATGTCTGAAGACATCCTTGCATTAATCATACGACTGAACGCATTGTTATATTAGTATTTTTTTAACTCTAAAATCATCTCTATCTTTTAGTGTTATTCTTTTTTATAGCTCAATAAGTTAACCGTATAAGATTGATTTCGCAAATCACTATTAGATATTTTTTATTTACATTGTCCTAAAAAAACCTATATTTTAGGTACCTACCTATAAATTAGTAGATGTGTAAGATTCAACTGAAATTTCGGTCTCGGTCACGGCATTCTCAGTAATAAATCCAACGAGAATTTAGTCTAGGTTTGTGTCAAAAAATCCCTAAGATGCACATGGGCGTGCAGTTATCTGTTTTATGATTGGTAGCGACAGGCCCAATAGGACACTGCGGTGGTCTACGCGCAATTAAAAATATTTTATGTCTCACAATAGTAGAATGTTATTTGGTTTTTGACTAATTCGTCGTATGAAGTAGTTAAAACCATGTTGTGTTTTTTGTGCTCCACAACATGAACTCATACTCCATTATAATATAAGTACTTATAGATGTTAATTTATTTTTGCTTAAACAGGGTCAGGAGATGAGTGCTCTTGAAGAGGCTCTGCCACCAGGGTGGGAAATCAGGTTTACAGAAGAAGGCACACGGTACTTCGTGGACCACAATACTCGAACGACCACATTCCAAGACCCGCGACCCGGTGCCCCGAAAGGTCCTCAGGGCGCATACGGCGTGCCGCGCGCCTACGAACGTTCCTTCCGCTGGAAGCTTAGCCAGTTCAGATATCTGTGTCAAAGCAATGCGCTACCCAGCCATATTAAAATTACTTTATCTAGACAATCTCTTTTTGAAGATTCATATCATCAGGTGTGTATTGCTGTTGCATACTTATTTTTGATACTAAAAGGAGTATTTGATAAAACTTTATTAAAAAACTAAAACTTAAAATTAAATTGTTATAATTGTATTTCAGATAATGAGGTTGCCTGCATATGAGTTGCGTAGAAGATTGTATATAATATTCCGTGGCGAGGAGGGGTTAGATTATGGCGGCGTCAGTCGAGAGTGGTTCTTCTTACTGTCACATGAAGTGCTGAACCCAATGTACTGCCTGTTTGAATACGCTAACAAAAATAACTACAGTTTACAGATTAACCCCGCCAGTTACGTGAACCCAGATCATCTTCTGTATTTTAAGTTCATTGGCAGGTTTATAGCAATGGCACTGTATCACGGGCGATTTATTTATTCAGGATTCACGATGCCTTTCTATAAAAGAATGTTAAATAAGAAACTGACTATGAAAGATATTGAATCTATTGATCCCGAATTTTACAACTCTCTGGTATGGATCAAGGATAATAACATAGATGAATGTGGTCTCGAGATGTGGTTTAGTGTCGACTTCGAAGTGTTAGGTCAAGTTATACACCATGAGCTGAAGCCGTCCGGAGATAAGGAACGTGTAACTGAGGTAATATATCTGACTTGATGAATTTCTCGACTGTCTCTGTACTAGAAAATAATTATATTTTTCATGATATTTTTGTTTTAGACAAATAAGGAACAATATCTTCAATTGGTCACTCAGTGGCGTATGACGAGAGGAATTGAAGAACAAACTTCAGCATTTTTGGACGGATTCAATGAGGTGAGGAAAAAATAGGATAAGATACTATTTATGTCAAACTTGCAAAGACAATTATTGCCTAATGAATAGATAAAATAATAGTTAATCACACATTTTCAGGTTGTGCCGTTAGAGTGGCTTAAATATTTTGACGAGCGCGAGTTGGAATTAATGTTGTGCGGCATGCAGGAGGTGGACGTCGATGATTGGCAACGAAATACAATATACAGACACTACACTCGCACCAGCAAACAAGTTCTTTGGTTCTGGCAGGTTTGTGTCAAATTTTTATATCTCCGTTTGCGATCCGTTCACATATTTATATAGCTATATAAGTATATTTATCGATATTGGGGTTGGGATCATCTAGGCTTTTGTTTGTAGAGTAGTCGCACCTACCATGACCTTTCACTGTACCACCAAGGAACTCCGGAAGAAAATGTTACGGCTTTAATTGGGTAGAATCCTCTGTCAAAAATAGTTTTCAACTTATAAAACCATAGACATATTTAAAAATAATTACACCTCCATTAATTAATTTTACGATATACCTACTTACTTTTCGTTTTTTTTTTCTTTTTGATAAACCAACAGAAATAAGTACGCTATTTGACGTAAAAAAATTGTCCCAACGTGCTACATATATTAGTTCACTGAAAAAGTATAGAATTTGACTTAGTGGAAACTATCCGATTCTTAATGCATGACGAATAAAATTAATTTTATCATACAAAATATTATAATCCGACTTTGCCACGAAGGAAGGTTAGGTTACATGTTTTTTCAGAATGTAACAATCAATAACTATTTTAAAACTGTTTTTCAAATTCTATTTTAGTTTGTGCGACAAATGGATAACGAGAAGCGAGCAAGATTGCTGCAGTTCGTCACTGGTACCTGTCGAGTTCCTGTTGGAGGATTTGCTGAGCTGATGGGATCAAACGGTCCCCAAAGATTTTGTATAGAAAAGGTACTTATTGAACCATTGATCATGGCGTAATGTTTTATAGCCGAGATAAATTGACTTTCTAACACAAAAATGAAATATTTGAAATAATTACTTTGGCAAAAACGTATGTACAGTTATTATTGAGTCTTATGTCATTAGTAAAAATATGTGGCTCGACTAAAAATACCCCTTAGTTACTTCGTTTAGTTTCGGTAATTACCGTTTTCAAACAAACAAATTTATACTTTTTAGATACAGTTACGTTAAACTCCAGATCCGCAATATCACAAAAAATAACTAATAATATCAAGTCGCTGTGTCATGATTATTGTTACTTCTTACTTACTAATATTATAAATGCGAAAGTTACGATGTTTGGATATTTGTTACTCAATCACGCCAAAACGACAGGACGGATCTGGATGAAATTTGGCACAGGCAAAGGAAACACATATAGGAATAGGACATAGACTATTTTATCAACATAACAAGCGGGCTAAAGCTCGTTATTTATATTTATATACTAAACCGATTCATTATTTTGCAAGCGAGCTACGAACCTGCGTCTGCTATGTAATGTAGTACAAGTGTCTAAAAGAACTTAAGCCTAAACTTTGAACTATATTCCTAGCTTTGAAACGTTCCTTTGATATTTAAGTTATGTGGGGGTACTACAACTATAGTTCGATCCATAACTAGAGACAACAATTTGACATTTCGAGTATTGCAGGTTTTTTTCTATTTCATAAATAGTGAAGTCCCGCAACTGGTCTTGACCGAAAGACCGAAAATCGTTTGTAAAACTATTAACTATATTAGCATTGATATAATTATTTTACAAGAAACAATTTTCAGCTTTTGGCAGATGGAATGTCAAACATAATTTAAGCCTAGAAATACGTTGGTATTGGTTTCTATAATTTTAATAATAATGTCTGTATAGAATTTCTCCACATGCTATAAGAAAAGAAGGCATATGACTCCATCCCACGTGGCTCATTAGGGTGTTGGAGTTATACAATGTAATATCGACCAACTCTACGCACCTTCTTGAGGTCATGTATGAGACAGTGGAAAACAGTCCCTCGCTATCCAGGATGCGGACAGATCTGTGTGAGTGACGGACCCATCAGGATAGAGCGTGGTGTATTCCAGGGTGACAATTTGAGTCCGATATGCTTTTTCTTAGCCCTGTATCCTCTAAGCACTTTCCTGGAAGGCTCAGGGTTAGGATATCGGTTGTGGAAACGGGAACAAATTGTATCCCATCTACTTTACATGGATGACTTAAAGCTCTTTGTCCCCAACAATTCACATCTAATGAGGTTATTGGGATGGAATTTGGTGTGGACAAATGTGCAGTCATGCACGTAAAGAGAGAGGTGATTGTGGAATCGGATGGAACACAAATGTCTGATTCCACAAACTTAAGGTCCCTTTCTCCAACTGAAAGCTATAAATACTTATGTATGTCAGAAGCTTTCGGCATCGATACAGTCGTCATTAAACAAACGTTGCGGGAACATTTCTTTGGTCACAGTCTTTTATCGGGCGGTAACAAGGTGCGCCTACAACAGTTGGGTCATGCCAGTACTGATGTATTTCTTTGGCATACTGATACTATCCTGTATAGAAAAGAACGTTCATTGCTGACTGAGCATCGGTTGCAGAGAGAAATGTGGAGGAAGAGGCCTTTTAGATGCCAAAGCCCTCCACAACAGTGAAGGGTGCAGTCGCCGAAACTTCTTTGCACCGAGATATTGTCGCTGTGGACAAAGGACTTACTGCACTCTCCTTAGCTCACAAGAATCAGAAAAAATCTGTAGTACTAAAGCACAAAGGATCGCAAGGATGTATGGCAAAGCAAAGACCGGAGGCCCAATCCCGCACCTTCCCCTGTCCCTTTCCGATCCTTATATCCGCAACCCCTATCCCCAAAAGGCCAGCAACGCACTCGTGACTCCTTTGGTGTTGCGGGTGTCCTTAAGGTAATCCGTCTGCTCGTTTGCCGACTTCTACCATAAAAAACAAGAGCTTCAGGGACGCTATTATAGGGGTCTACATGAGCACATTTTTTTTATTAATTCGAAAAAACTATTAAAGACGTATGTTTTTTATATTCGTCAGGGTAATTTATAAAAAAAAACGGTATTTTTAAAAATCGTACTCGAGCCCATCACTATGCCTAAAAATCTGGCCACATTATTTTGTAGTTTGACATTTGCAGTTTTCAAATTGCTGACTCTAATTATGGAACGAACTATACTAAACTTTTAAAGATTTTTAGGTTAGATTATAAATGTAAAGTATTTAAGTAGTTTGTTTCTAGTGCGACTACAATATACATTTAAGGATAGGAAAAGTAGTTTATTTAACAGTATGAAAAATTACAATATTTGAAAACCTCTACTTTAATTACAGCGTTATAAAGCTTAATAGTTCATTTAAAAGTCACCAAATTGGCCAGGATTGGTTGAATAGATTAGGTATGAAAATTATAGTCGCGTATTATAATTTAGCTACTGATTAGATATTGGTTTTCGTCCCATTATTAATATAGAAGCCTTAATTATATTATTTTAATCAAATCGCAGCATTATAAATTTATCACGCAGCAAACTTGATTGATATTGGTTTATTCATTTATAAGGATGTGACGTCACAAACTTACTAACTTAAAGCCATCTTGCAAGGTGGAGCATTTTTAAACAAATTGTCAATTTGAATTTAAGGCCAAAATTTGAAAGCTATCTTATTTTAAGGGCGTAGTCTGTATTGAAAACAAAGTGAAAAGTTTTTAAAATCAACCGTCTCGTTTTTCAAATTCTCAAATCCTCTTGTTATATGTTTTTTTTTTAATTTTTCAAATTAATTCATTTGTCACAGAACTTTTCTTAAATTTTGCAGGTTGGAAAAGATACGTGGTTGCCTCGGTCGCACACGTGTTTTAATCGACTCGACTTACCACCCTATAAGAGCTACGAGCAATTATGCGAAAAATTGAATTTTGCTATTGAAGAAACTGAAGGCTTTGGACAGGAATAATTTAATTGTTATATATATATAATTATACTAGAATCACTAAACGTTATTGTAAATTATTATAACATGAATGCACCACCTCAATTTGAGGATTTTATCACCAATGGAATTGGTGCTGTCATAAAAAGACCAACCAAATAATTATATGAATATATTTGTAATAAATTACTCTTACATGATAAACTATGTAGATATTGTTAGTGTAAAATGTCGGTTGTTTAAGAAATATTTGTTTGAACTACACTTAAAACACTGTTCTCCTAAAAGTTCATTAAATAATTTTTAAACAGTGAATACCGTTTTTATTTTGTATGTCATGACAGAAGTTTCGTTTGTGCTAAAAGAAGTTCCTTATTTAAATGTGCAATAAAATGCTGATAGAGGTTTTGGTAAATAAAACAGCTGTTTTTCAAGCGACAAGAATATTGAATTACTTACCAATTTTTAAGGATTGAATAAGGATGAAGATTAAAAATTAATTTAAGGATGAAGATAAAAAATTGGTAGGTATAGATAAAAATAATGTCTGTCCTTTTTTTGAAGGAAAAATAATATTGTGCCTTTTCTTGACTCCCATTCATTCTCCTGTTCTAGGCCAAGGAAGCAGTACCGCTTATTCCTTGCAATTGACTGTATTTGGATAAATGCGTCATTTAATTGAGCTTGATGTTAACGTCAGCTCAATAGGTTGAAGTTATTTGACTCAGAATTTGTTTGCACGATGCCACTTAACAAACACACTTACAGTGCAAGTTAAATAAAAAGCTTGTAAAATATAAGAAATAAAACAATGATACAAACTAATAAATATTTTTTATTTAATGTAAAGTAAATAATTAAGCATTCGTATTTGAAACAATTAATGAACTAATGAAATGTTTTATGTTGACAAAAGTTAGCATAGCTTTAAATTAGCAAATTCCTCTGCAACTTTCATTGCTTCTTCAAGGCTGGCGGAATTATTACCAGAAGCTTGACCAGATTCTGCTTTACCACCACCCTTGCCACCTATAACTGGCACAACAGACTGAATCCACTCAGAGGCCAGCAAACCCTTTTCGATCGCATTTTTAGGTACAGCGGCAAGACAGAATATTTTGTTAGTTTCATCGTCTACAGAGAAAAACATAGCCGCGGTTGTGGGGCAAAGAAGCTTCACTTGTTTTAAAGCGCCATCCAATGCTTTAGTGTTGCCAAATGCTTTAAGTTCTGAAACAATGACTTTACTTTCCTTATTCTCCGTACAAATTTCTTTTGCCCTTTCCGCGACTTGAGTGATTGTCAAAGCTTTAGCAGCCCTTTCTTTATCGTCAAGTTGTTTTTTTAAGTTTTTGAGCATAGTTCTCAATTCTTCTTTTTTCCAATACGATATCTGAGCTTGAGAAATCTCGTTTGTAAGGTCAACAATTTTACGAAGAATTTCCTTTTGGTTCATATTGTCACTTTGATCTTTAATGAAATTAGCCATGTTGTTGACCTCATTTTCCAATGAGCTTGATTTACTTATGGCTTTCAATGCTTCTGGCCCAGTCAAGGCGACAATTCGTCGAATTCCTTTCGCAATACCTTCCTCGCTGACGATTACATAATCTCCAATATGACCGGTCTGATGTAAATGTGATCCACCACAAAATTCTACAGAGGTTTCGTATGCGGCCGGTCCGTCCGGGTTTTTCTCTAACTCTTCTACTGGTATTCCAACAGAAACTACACGTACTGGATCTGGATAGTGTTCATCGAACATAGCTCTTAAGCCCTTAATCTTTTTAGCTTCATTTAAGCTCGTATGTTTTGCATAAACAGGTTTATTTGCATAAATGATCTCCTTGATTTGATCTTCTGTATCTTTTATTTGTTTTAAAGACATTGGTCCTTTGTTAGTAAAATCAAACCTTAGACGATCTGGCATGACAAGAGATCCTCGTTGATCGGAATCGTTTCCAAGAACTTTTCTTAGTATGTTGTTTAATACATGCGTTCCAGTGTGGTTATTCATGACAAGTCTCCGCCTTTCAGTATCAATATGCAAAGACAACTTATCCCCAATTTTCAGAGTGCCTTCAAGTTTTCCCATATGTAACACATATCCTCCCTTAACTTGGACATTAGTAACCACGAACTCAACGCTATCATCATCAGTTTTTACCATATATCCTTCATCATATATTTGACCACCTTGTTCGGCATAGAAACTGGTTTTATCAAGAATAACTCCACATTGTTGACCAGAAGAGACTTCATTTACAAATTGTTTATTTTGTCGTAAAGCAATGATGGTTCCAATGCAGGGACTGAAATTATATACAGCTTCGTTTTCAGTTGAAGATGCAACATAGTTGTATTTAGGGGAGTCGTCTGTGGCAGGTACTCCAGTGTCTTGCAAATGACTAATGGCATGCACATCCAATGCTAACAAATCTTCTTGACCAGCAGCTTTTCCTTGGGAAATCAATTGAGATTCTTTCTTAGATTTTTCGTAAGCTTCCATATCTATGGAAAGCCCATTTTCTTCACACATGAGTTGTGTCAGATCAATAGGAAATCCGTATGTATCATACAGCCGCCAAGCGACATCACCAGGTATTACCTTACCATTTAATTTTTCAATAGTTCTATTGAGTAAATTTCTCCCTCGTGTGAGTGTTTTCAAAAACTGTAATTCTTCCTCATTTATCAGTTGGATCAAAGATAATGGATCTTTTGTTATTTCAGGAAAAACATTTCCTAATAATTCCACAACAACATGAACTAAAGAACCAAAGAACCCGGGTTTAGCATTAAGTTTCTCAGAAGCGTATCGTACTGCTCTCCTTAAAATTCTTCGAAGTACATAACCTCTTCCTGTATTGTCGGGACATCCACCATCTGACAAAGCTATTGTAAGTGTTCTAGCATGATCAGCTAAAACCCTATATGCCATATCAATTCCATCGACGTCTTCAGCTCCGACTTTTCCAGTATAAGGCCTTGCACCCGTACCAACTTCGATTGCTTTGAATATAGGCATAAAGAAATCAGTGTCATAATTAGCTCTTTTGTTTTGAATAACTGACACTAGTCTTTCAAGACCTAATCCACAATCAATATGCTTTTTTGGCAGCAACTTCAGTGACCCATCTGATTCTCTATTAAACTGAATAAACACTAAATTCCAAATTTCGAGTACATCAGGGTCATCCATGTTTACGAGGTGGGCTGCCTCACGTCCTCCGATTCTATCATAATGCAATTCTGAGCAGGGACCACATGGACCTGTTTCACCCATTTCCCAAAAGTTATCTTTCATACTACCAGGAAGAATGTGGGATTCTGGGACACCTAACTTGAGCCAGATTTCTTTGCATTCGAGGTCAGGTTCAAGTCCTGAAGCAGCATCTCCTCCAAAATAAGTTACATACAAACGATCCCCAGGCAACTTATAAACTTCAGTTAGAAGTTCCCATGCCCATGCACATATTTCTTTCTTAAAATAATCACCAAATGACCAGTTACCCATCATTTCAAAAAAAGTATGATGATAGACATCTTTCCCCACATCATCAAGGTCATTATGTTTACCTCCTGCTCTTATACATTTTTGGGTATTAACAACTCTGACATACTGAGCCATATCAGAGTTAGGGTCAACAGACCCCAAAAAGATGGGCTTAAATTGGTTCATCCCTGCATTAGCAAAAAGTAAAGTTGGGTCATCCAAAGGTATTGTGGATGAAGAGTGAACATATTTATGTCCTTTACTGATGAAAAAATCAATAAAGGCTTGTCTTATCTGGTTACCACTCATTGAAGTATCCATCTTCAATTAATCTGAAACAAAAGATTATTTTTAGAACATAATATGTTGTATAAACTATAAACTGTTTGTTATAATATATGTAACATGTTGACCAAAGATCATGTCATCTAACGAGTTAATTAATTATAAAAATATGTGTGAAAGAAATAGTTTTGACTTGATAACAATGGTTCAAAATTTTATTTCAGTTTGTTTGTTAATCAGCTATAGATTATTTTTATCAGATTACCTATAATAAGTCAGGGGTTGCAGGTCAAGTGCAATAATGTACCAAATATGAAAAGAAAATACTGAAGGAATTGTCGTTTAACAGTCAGAAAGAGGGGGAAACATTATGTAATTATTATAATGATACTTTTTGATGATTAGATAAAATTCAACATAATGCCATTGAACTAGGGATATTATGACACACAAAAAAAATGCATATTCACGTCGAAAAGACCTAGTAATGTTTTCATACAATAATTGGTTGCCATGGTTTGCTATTGGCCACAAATGAGAAATAGGCTATTTCGCCAATATCCAGCATAGCCAAACAGAAGACGTCTTAATTAAGTATATTTGATTTGTTGTCTGTAGCCATGACCAAAAGATTAGGTTGCTTACATTCCTTTAAAAAGTTAAATTTAAAAAATAGTCTGCTAGTTGGATTGGGATACAGCCACTCGGCATACTCAGTGTCAATTCTTTTTTGTAAAGCTTCTTATAATCTCCTCAGCATTTTTTTGTGAAAGATGAGAAAAGACAATATTTTATGGTCCCAAGAGCCAACAGACCACCACAGATCCAACAGGGCCTGGGTGATTCTCCAAAAAACCTTAACTTTTATTTAACAAGTCATTATCCTCCCAGGTTTTTAAGCATCTTAGTAATTTATTTTATACAATATTTTTAATCGGTTGCTTGTAAGCAGTGGTGAGATTTAATTTCATAAAATAATTATCTGTGTTTTAATCAGCAGACTCGTTAATTTTCGGTTGAGGATAATGACATTATTAATTTTTTTTAATTGATGTGAAGAATCACCCGCTACTAGGTCCAATGGCTATCCTCCCTTTAGTTCGGAGAAAGTTGTCATGAGAGGAGAGAGTTGTGTTGTTGCTAAAGAAGTCGAGAGCCAGTAAGAGTTGGACATTCCCCTTTGGGCCAATCAGAGAGGGTGAAGCAATTAGATAATTTTCACAAAAACTCCGAAAAATTCAATTTATCTTAAGTTTTTTGTAATTTGTTTGACATCAGATAATATGATAAACAACATAAAACTGCAGCATGCACATGTTACACAAATTAATTTTTTGAAAAGGTACTAAAATACGATGATGGCGGGATGTAAGGGGGCGAACTTCCATCTTTCGCCCCAAGCCAACCTCACCTGCACGCGGTGCATCCTGCTGGTCAACGAACGAGGCTCTGGCGACCGACCGACGGCGGTATATCCGTCCCTTACAAACAGGCGAAATTAAGTACCGCAGGCCGGTGACGGGCAGCAGCGTTACCGGTGCGAAAAGTTTCGCCCTGCGATCGCCAACCCGCCTGCCCAGCGTGGCGATTATGGGCAATACCTCCTATGGGCAAAAAACGAAGGCCACGGCCCCCAGTTCCCGGCAGCCCCACTATTCCTGGTCATGGTGGCGACCATGGTAACGGTGGGGTAGGGGGTGCTAAGAATCTCCGGGCTACGGGAGGCCACCACAACAGACTGACCCTGGCGACGTACAACGGACGCACGCTACGGCTTGACTCGCATCTAGCGCAACTAGAGGTGGAACTTGGGAAGATCAGGTGGCACATACTAGGGTTATGTGAAGTCCGAAGAGAGGGGGAGGACACGATAACTCTCAAATCAGGCCACCTGATGTACTTCCGTGAGGGAGACCAAAAATCCCAAGGTGGCGTTGGGTTTCTGGTTAACAAGTCCCTATCTAACAATGTTGTGGAAATGTCGAGTGTGTCGAACAGGGTGGCGTACCTCATTATAAAGCTCACCGAGAGGTATAGCCTTAAGGTGGTCCAAGTGTACGCACCGACCTCGGCACACTCCGATGATGAGGTGGAGGAGATGTTCGATGATATATCGAGGGCCCTCCACTCCACCACTAGGACTCACTTCAACATTGTTATGGGGGACTTTAACGCCAAAGTGGGAGTACAAAATTGCAGTGAATCGGTAGTAGGATCCCATGGGTATGGAAACAGGAATCATAGGGGGCAAATGCTCGTCAATTTCCTCGAACGGGAGGGGATGTTCTTAATGAATTCATTCTTTAAGAAGCAGCCCCAAAGGAAGTGGACGTGGCAAAGCCCCGACACTATGACAAAGAACGAGATCGACTTCATCATGGCGGACAAAAGGCACATATTCAGAGACGTCTCCGTGATTAATAGGTTTAATACCGGTAGCGATCACCGACTCGTCCGAGGCTCTCTGAATATCGACTTCAGAGCCGAACGAGTCCGCTTGATGAAGGCCAGGCTCCGACCAACCCTGTTTCAAATCAAAATGGGATCTGAAGCGTTTCAGTTAAACCTGGAGAACCGATTTGCTGCCCTGGAAACCACAACCGACGTTAACCGGAACCTTGAAAACGTGGTTCGAGTTCTCAGGGAAGAAGGTACGAGATTTTGTGAAATGCAGCGTAAGGGCAAGAAGTCGAAGCTTTCGGAAGAGACTTTAGGGCTTATGAAGAGACGACGTGAAAACCCACCCGTCACTTCGTCAGAGAAGCGGGCTCTAAACCGAGAGATTAGCAAACACGTGCGACACGATCTCCGGTGCTCGAATACCCTTGCAATCGAGAGAGCGATCGAGCAAAACCGGGGGCCAAAAGTGTTCGTACAATCTCTTGGAAGAAGCCACCTGACGAAGTTGACCACAGCAAGTGGAGAAGTCGTTGTCTCGAAGCCGGCAGTTCTTTCGGAAGTAGAAAACTTCTACGGCCGGTTATACGCTTCGCATGCATCTCGACCTGACCCCGGAAATGAGGACTCTAGAGCCACTTTAATACGCCATTACACCGAAGACCTGCCAGAAGTCAGCATTGACGAAATCGAGGTCGCTCTTGGACAGCTTAAAAATGGAAAAGCCCCTGGAGAGGATGGCGTTACGACAGAGCTTCTAAAAGCAGGCAGCAAACCGGTACTCAGGGAGCTGCAAAAGCTATTTAACGCTGTCCTGTTTGAAGGGAGAACTCCAGAGGCGTGGAGTCGAAGTGTGGTCGTCTTATTCTTCAAAAAGGGTGACAAAACCCTACTGAAGAATTATCGACCCATTTCCCTTTTAAGCCACGTCTATAAGCTGTTCTCGAGAGTGATCACGAACCGCCTTGCGCGAAGACTTGACGAATTCCAACCACCGGAGCAGGCTGGGTTTCGGAGCGGATACGGCACCATAGACCACATCCACACAGTGCGGCAGATTATACAGAAGACTGAGGAGTATAATCAGCCCCTGTGCCTAGCATTTGTGGACTATGAGAAAGCCTTTGACTCGGTCGAAATCTGGGCTGTTCTGGAGTCCCTGCAGCGATGCCAAGTAGATTGGCGATACATCCAAGTGATGAGATGTCTCTACGAGGCCGCCACCATGTCCGTCCAAGTACAGGATCAGCAAACAAGGCCGATACCGTTGCATCGAGGTGTGAGACAAGGGGATGTTATCTCCCCGAAATTGTTCACAAATGCAATGGAGGATATGTTCAAGACGCTGAACTGGAAAGGACGCGGCATCAACATAAATGGCGAGTACATCTCTCACTTGCGATTTGCAGACGACATCGTCATCGTAGCAGAAACGCTGCAGGACCTACAACGGATGCTGAATGACCTGGCTGACTCTTCTATACGCATCGGCCTACGGATGAACTTGGATAAAACCAAGGTCATGTTCAATGAACATGTACTACCGGAACCGATTGCAGTACACGGCGCTGTTCTCGAAGTCGTTCAAAAATATGTATACCTCGGGCAGACATTGCAGATGGGTAGAAACAACTTCGAGAACGAGGTGAATAGAAGAATTCAGCTAGGTTGGGCAGCATATGGAAAGCTGCGTCAAGTCTTCACGTCGTCGATCCCACAGTGCCTAAAGACGAAAGTCTTCAATCAGTGCGTCCTACCTGTCATGACATACGGAGCCGAAACGTGGACACTGACGGTGCGGCTGGTTCACAAGCTAAAAGTCACTCAGCGAGCTATGGAGAGGGCTATGCTCGGCGTTTCTCTGCGAGATCGAATCAGAAACGAGGTGATCCGGCAGAGAACCAAGGTAATCGACATAGCCCACCGGATTAGCAAGCTGAAATGGCAGTGGGCTGGCCATATTAGCCGAAGAACCGATGACCGTTGGAGTAGACGAGTTCTTGAGTGGAGACCGCGTCTCGGCAAACGTAATGTAGGACGTCCTCAGGCAAGGTGGAGTGATGATTTGCGCAAGATGGCTGGCAGGAGCTGGATGCGAGTGGCCGAAGATCGATCCCAGTGGCGTGCAATAGGAGAGGCCTATGTCCAGCAGTGGACTGAAAAGGGCTGATGATGATGATGATGATGATGATGACTAAAATACTAAAATTACTGGGTACTAAAATTAATAATAGAAAATAAGTAAAATAGGTATACTTATGCTAATAGGATGACATATGGTAAGTCTTTATTTTAGTTTAATTGATAGTGTAAAGACTAAATAATATCATAAAACACAACTCAAATTATTTTAGTAGGAACTATAATAGCTTCCAGTAAAGCTCTTCTTGTACACACAATAAATAATAATTGCATCATGCAATATTCAATATGTATAGTGGGAACTTAGGCGCATACTCACTATTATGTAGTTGTATGTATAATTGGAGAAAGGTTAGCAAATCAACTTTATAAGTAATCTTTCTTGAATACTCAATAGAAAAAACAAGTGAGAAATTCTGATTAATTTTTTCAGAATTAAGTTTATATGTGTAACATAAGTAGTTTTGTCACCTGCGAACTAAAATAAGAACCTACCATATGGTCAATATTACTTCAAAATACAAATAAATGCACAATACACAATAAAAAAGTGCAAATTCAACACATAACCTGATAATTTACAATTTAATTGAAATTAAATAGTTCTTAAATAATAACTTACCGGTGAAATTGATGTAAAAGTTAACCGTCTTTTAACTTCGGTAGAGAATGCGTTCACCAAATGCTCAGTAGCGACAGCAACCAAGTCAAAGTCACCACTTCCACAGTTCCACTAATCCACTTGCACGTTTACCTGTCATTCGACGTCAACACACGATACGATGACATTGACACTTTTTTTTTTCTCTTTTTTTTTTGGAACTTTTATACATAAGTACATGGCAGTCCCATCGTACCTTATAATACTTAAAAACATCACAATACATAATAAATATAAACTTAGTTCTATCATCTATCAGATAAAACGAAGACTTATGAAACTATACAATTTCTTGGCCGCATCACTTGAAGGTGCAGATAAAATTTCATGATATAAACCAGTATTGTTTTTAATTAGACCTAAGTCTTTTATCAATTTATCTCTCTCATGCTGAAACCGGACACATTCTGTTAAGAGATGAACAACGTCTTCCACCGTATCACACACCTCACATTTAAGGGAAGCACATTTTTCCATTAAAAAGGCAAAGTTTTTTTTTTTCTTTATTTAAAAGAGCTTATTTGCAGTTACAAATATGACGCTCCATTTAAAGCAAAAATATATTAAAATATTAAAAAAGAAGAATTTACTTTAACTCTTTCACACAGTGGAGACGATAGAAAATTTATATAAAAACCTATATTGTAACATTCTTTACCAAAAAATCGATGTCTTAACTCCTTATTCCGATCACACTCCGCTAAAATATGATGTACATCTTCAACTTTACCGCAAACATAACATTTCGGAGAATCGTTTTGTCGCATTAGGAAGGCAAATTTATTCAGCGGAATGTGACCAGAACCTAGCCTAAACAACAGTACAATATCTTGTCTGTCTAGGTAAGATATTTCAAACCAAGGAGCTTTCCAAGGTTGTGATTGGACAATTTTATACCATATTTCCACATGTTTGGACCGTTCATCAAAGTATTCTTTCCAAAGTGAATAAGATTTTTGTTTAACAATGTAAGTGCAATCAGAATCACAAGGTAAAACATTCATACATATTCCGCTGTGAGACGCCTCTGTAGCCAATCTGTCAGCTATTTCATTCCCTTCCACACCAACATGTGAGGGTATCCATTGTAGAATGACCAACTTAGAAGAAGATAAAATGTCCATCATCAATTTGATAATCGTGAAAGCTATGGGGGTTCCTCTCAAGCCCGAAGTGCACCGAACCAAATGCTGAAGGGCACTTTTAGAGTCACAGAATATGACGAATTTATTACATGAAATAGACTGAATATATGAAAGGGCTTCTGATATGGCAATAAGTTCTGCATACATTATCGAAATATTAGAGTTTATCTGGAGTTTTATAAAGTCTTTCGTTTGTATATCAAAGAAAGCTGCCCCAAGTGTATTTGATGTATTATTTTTCGAAGCATCTGTAAACATTTTATAAAAGTCTGCGTAATTTTCATTAATACTCAAATCACAGATTTCCTTTAAAATTAAGTGACTAAAAGAGCATTTTGGCTAATTCACTGACTTAATATCACAAATGATATTTTCAGAAAGATCGATACTGGTAGTCCAAGTATCTAAAGAAAACATATCTAAAACTTGCGTACTTTGTACGCGAACATCCTTGAAGTAATCATAAGCTTCAATTAGTAGCGGTTTTTTCCGTCTACCTGTGCAGGATTTTGCCCACAAATCTTGCAATTCCTGAATAGATTTATAAATAAATGAACCACCCCAACATTTAGTTTTGCAAAAATATTTGCCAGCTAAAAATGATCTTCTAACATGTAGAGGTTGTATACAAAGTTCGCTTTCCATAGCATGAATAGGCGAAGATTTAATGAAACCCCCTATTACTCGCATACACTGATTTTGAATTTTATCTAATTTATTTAAATGAGCATTACAACTGTTGCCGTATAAGAAGCAAGAATAATCAAAACGGCTTCTGACAAGGGAAATGTACAGACGTCTGAGATGTGTCGGATGAACACCCCAACCGGGACCAGACAGAAAAAAAGGCAAAGTTGTTAAGCGGCATATGTCTACTTAACACTTGATAGAATAGACATTGACACTTGATAGAAGAATTAGAATGCTAAGCATGGAGGAATTATAGTCTAGTAAGTAAGAGTTAAAAGTATGGCTAATTTTCATGATATTGATTATTTTTTCGTCTTCTATAAAAGGATAATAATTGCTCCATACATTTTTAAGCCTTTTCTGAAAGTAAGCCAAATAGGTCGGGAGTCGCCAGTCGGGCCGAATAAAATAATCCGACGTGATATAACCACAGGATTATGTTTCACCGTGTGAGTGTGAGATTTCCAGAGGACCAATCCTACCCTTTCTTTCCTTCTCCCGAAACCTTCATGCCCAAAAGGCCAGCCGCTCTCTCTTACGGTGTTGCAGGTATTCATAAGCGGCTCTGATTGCTTACCATCAGGTAATAAAAGTATAATCTACTCATTTGTCACCCAATCGATTACCTACTTACCATTATTTGTGTGTGCCTATTTATTTTCAAAATGAAATTGTATATACAATTGCTACACGCCAATGTGCAGTGACTATGGTTGTGATTACTAAGCAAACGCTCCTACAAGAAATGCATGTAAGTATCTACCTAATACATATAAAAAAATCGTTTATTTTAGTATCTTATTAATCTACCCCAATGTATGTTATTTAAAGGTCTAGGTTTAAAGTTTACTTAAGAGATATGTGTGCCGTGCTGGGACGCACCGCTCTTCGCAAGTTCTACAGACCTAGTTAATATATGTATACAAAATGGGTCGATCGATATCAAGTAAATAACTATTATTAGGTATAATTAAAGTTACGCAATGAATTTATCCTCGGTAAATCTTATATGTAGGTACTTACGTTATCTTTTATACATGACATGAGTTGAAATGAAACAATTTTGTTCTTGTTTTTTATTCTTGATTTATTTTTAGTAAGCGTGTGCCAAATAACATCGTTAGAATAGCATGATAGTAAACCAGGCTATGATAACATAGGTAAAAATATAAAAAAAGCCTGTAAACTGTTTTTAAGGCTTTAATGGCAAAAACAAATCTGGCAAACAATGGCTTCATCTCAATATTCTATGTGTCGGATATGTTACTAAATCCCGAAATATATTACAGGGTGTTTTGTTGTGTCAAATGTTTGATGAAACTGAGTAACCGAGACGTTCGGTTGTGAGTCGTGACATGACACGACACGCCACGACATACAAGTGTGTGTTTTACACAAAGACCTCTAAACTCATAGATCGCGGATTTTCTATTATTATTGTTATGTACTCTGCCACAGAGTACATTTTAACAATAGGAATGTACTCTGCCTGAATGTTGACAGATGTCAAATTGTTAATGTTTCACAATACGATTTTGTATAAGCTTTTATTACAAAACATTATATTAGTAAATATCAAAACCAAGTAGTGATAAACTGAATCTATCTAATAAAACAGTGAAGTTTTATGTTATAGTGATGTATTAAGAATTTTAGGTATACATTGATATCATGGCGCTAACCGCGACTTTATTTAAATTATTCAAAGGTTATAGTTTTAGAACAACGGAAATATCATCACGATTTTGTAGTACCTTACAACATGCAAACAATACTAACAGTATACTGGCGGATAAAGGCAAAACCAAAGTGGAAGCATTAAGTCCTGCTGTTGAAGATTTGTCTACCATAACACCCTACTTTTCGAATACTTTTAATTTGGCAGCCTATATTAATCAATCTAAGACACTGAAAAATTTAGTTGACTTAAATGTTAATATTAGTAAAATCGAAAAGAAACCATATATTGTTGAACGATTTTTAAAATTAGATTTCGAAAAGGATATGAAGAACCATATAATATTTCTCAATAACTATATTGATATGGAAGACATGGGAAATTTCTTAACCAAAAATCCAATGATACTTTGTGAACCATTGGAAGATCTTCAAGTAAGAGTTAATTATTTGCACTCAAAAGATTTTGAGGAAAATCAAATTCAAAGGATAGTTATGAACAATCCATTCTGGTTGATGTTTAGGTAAGCTCAGCACATGAAGCAGCACAATAGCTCAGAATATGAAGTCATAATATGGTGTCTTTATACTTTGTAATGTTTTACATGGACTTTATATATGCTGTTTGCTTACTCTATGATTTGTTTCTATTTTATGTAAAATACTAATGTATGTCACTTAGTTTTAAAGGGTCTTCTTACAATAGTTGAGCGAGTTCTTTACAATATATGATGAACATATTTGTATTTTGCAGTACAATAAGGATAGATAAAAGATTAGGATTCTTTCAAGAAACTCTAAACTTATGTGGCAAGGAAGTAAGATATCTAGCCACTAAGCAACCTAAGCTTATAACCTACAATATACACAGTATAAAAACTAATATGTTTGTAATAAAAGAGGAAATGGGCTTTGAAGAAAATGAAGTGAAGGAGTTGGTTTTAAAAAAACCAAAGATTTTGATGTTGAGTAAGTAGTATTTTGATAAATTTTTAGTCAGCTTATTCATTATATAAATTAAATGAAGTTTGTTTTCTTAACTGATTAATCCATTATATATACAGATTTATGGTTATTTAAAAGGTTCACACAAGAAATATGTCCAAACTAATAAGTGTGTAATTTTTCTTTAATGTAATAACTTAAAAAAAGTAAAAATAACTCATACAGTTTTGTCTAAATTAATAAGTCAGATGATATCATATGCTTGCTACAAATGTTATTATAACACCAATAATTTATAGAGTGTTTCTTTACAGATCAAAGGTCCCTGTTTGAAAGATTCAACTACATCCACAACACAATGAAAATTTCACATTTCACAATTCAACAAAATCCTGAAATATTAATGTGCAGAAAGTTTAGAATAAAGCAAAGGCATTTATTTTTAGAAAAATTGGGCCGTGCTCAGTATGATCCTAAAAAAGAAAATTATATTCCTATTAAATCACTGGTTGAAGATTCAGATATTGAGTTTTGCAAAAACTTTGCAAAATGTAGTGTTAATGACTTTAATATGTTTTTGAAAACTTTATAACTTAACCAGTTTTTCCTAATACAATTTTATTATGAAAAGCATTTAAAGAGTGGTATAAAAGAGCATCAATGATTCCTGCGACTGTGAAAACTCCACCAATTATAGCACAGATATTAGTTGCAAAATGACCAATTGACCTGAAAAAAAAATATATGCTTAGTATAGAATAAGTGAAAAAAATAAAATGTACATTGTTGATACAAAGACACTTGCCTTTCTTTTTCCGTATATTTAACCATAAGTGGTGAAAGTTCATAGCTAAAAAACGCCCCAGGCATGCCTGACTCTGCATTTATGTTTGACACTGATTTTTGGTGTCTCGTAACTGAAAACTGATTGGTGTGTAAAACTGTTCTGTCTAATTTTACATACATAGTTGGAACTATTTTAAGGTAGTATTGGAACATAACAGCACCTGAAAAGAAAGAAATGTGAAAATATGTTTGTTTTTATTAAAAACATGATTAAGTTGATAAAACAATAATAAAGTTGTTAACATATGTGTGAAATAGTGTTGTAGTCACTGACTTAACACCTATATATATATATTAAATATAAATTAATATTTAACGAAATCAAGCAGTTTTTAATGTTGTATAGTTGTTAACGGAACTTCAGTTGGTTGCGCGACGTCGGTGCCAAGAGCATGATTCTCATGAAAAAGAGTCCCGTTACGACTTGAAACTACTGGAGCATGTCTCATTAAATTCACATGAGTAAGTTGTTATTTTCAATAAATTTAGTGTGTCACGATAGTTTCTATTAAAAAAATGTAGTCCTATACAACAGATTGTTTTGCATAAAAATAGTTTTTTAACAAATAGCGGATTACTAAAATATGGCAACACTGCATTTACCGAGGTTTAATTCAAACGAAAAGGAAAAAACAAAACCCGAAAAATATAAATGTCAAAAACATAAAATTGTCTATGTCTGTCACTTGTCAGCTCTTTCGTACTTTGTGCGGGCTAGGAATATCAATAAAATACTGATTTATCTTCTCTGATACTGGAAACTCCTAACCAAAATGCCCGTGCCAGGCGGAGTCTACCAGAGTCAAGGACCATCGTGTTTCGATAAAATGAAAATGGGTTTTATGATTGGATTTTGTGTCGGAATGGCGAGCGGTGGTCTCTTCGGTGGTTTTACAGCTTTGAGGTTATATAAACCTGTCAATTAATTTGTTGTTATTTTATTTGAGAACATATTATGTTACCCGATTTATAATTTTAGATATGGAGCTAGAGGAAGAGAATTAGTACATTCCGTTGGAAAAGTTATGCTTCAAGGTGGTGGAACATTCGGCACATTTATGGCTATCGGAACTGGAATACGCTGTTAATCAGTTTGTTCAGACTCAATTTTTGTACATACAGTAATTTAAATAAGTGCTTAATGCGCTTGCTATTATTTTATTAGTGTTATAATACTATAGTTCACTAAAGAATTTGTTATTAAATATTATTATTGATAGCTTTTATTTGTTTTTTTTTTTTCTGAAAACCTCAATTTTTACTATAATTTTCAAGATATTATCCGGTATTATGATTTTATTAAGTCCAAATAATTTCATATTTGCAACTAACACACCTTTCAATTGGACTATTATGATGAAAAAATATAGTGTAGATTATCATGTTTTCAATAACCAATTTTCTCAATATTTGACTAGTTTGTAAAAACAAAACTTACCTTCCTTAGCTATACCATCAACTCCATCTAAGGGTGCAGTGTTGGCGCCTTCGATGTCTGTTCCAAAAGATAAGTGTCTTATAAAATGTGTTGTATTAAAAACTGATGATGAATATGGCTGCACATCATGGACATGCACATGGTTTATTGTAAAACTTTTTCCTGGGGCTATGTGGAAGCTTCCGCCGACCTGAAATTATACAAAAAAAAAACAGTGACTGAATTCCTTTTTGATCTTTGAATGATTTTGTGAATGTGAATTTCAATCTGAAATAACATGCTTAAATTAAGTCTAAGCTTAGATGTTTGTGGTACAAACTATTAAAAATACATACTCTGTTGACTTCCATGTAGCCATAGATTTGACAGCCTTCTTTGAGAGCTAAGTTTGTTTTTTCAATAGATTCATCATTTTTGCATTGCTCTATTGTAGACAAATCAGGTAAAGCCCATCTTCTTATTCTATATGCTTCTTTCACATCTTCACAGGTATTGCAACATCTATTAAAAAAAAATGATTTTTATTATGTTTGGACTTCAATACACAGGAAAGCATAATGGCTGTCTATAAAAATTACTTAAAAATCTACCTACATCCTACATCTACCTTTTTCTAATTCAAAAAGACTGGAAAAACATAACCATCTTTATTTTTTTTCTTTTTATTGAATGAATATTTTATTTATTGTAGTCAGAATATTCTATTAATTGGTAGAAACTAGGGCAGGCAAAAACCGAACTTTACGGTTTTTATGTTTAAAAAAGAACTGGGTTTTTTCAGGTTGACTCTTTGTAAGTAAATAGAAATGATGTACATTATAATAAAAATCATTTTATTTCTTTTATATTCTTGTTTGACAAGATGAAGTTAGATTTTCTGAACATAATATTGTGAGATCAGTTGAATAGTATAATTAAAAATCAAATATAAAGAGATCAACAATAGAATACTTTGCTCATTAGTAAAGCAGACATTTTGGTCATAGTTATGCCTTATTAAACAATATTATTTGAAATTATAACTTTTTTTATGTCTTTTAATTGACTTGACTCTAATGAAATTAATTACTACTATGAAAAAGACATCATTGGGTCTATGCTAAGAGTGCCAACTGCTGAGCTGCATTAGATCATTTTTGAATTAGAAATACGTTAGAAACTTAATATTATTATAAATTAGTTTGTATTACTTTTTGGCCTGGTAGAAAGATCATTGAAGATCATCAAGATGAAACAAGTGCATCAAGGGAGTCATATACACACTAATGGTTTATGTTATTTCTTAAATTATCTAAAATTGTAGAAAAACCGAAATAATTGTAAAGCCCCGATTTGTAACTGACGAAAACCGAGTCTCAAATTGTGTTGGTTACCCGGTTAGCATGTCCTAGTCTAGTGGAAACCTATCCTACTGAAAAAGGGCTCCCAGATCTCATTGTTGGGACAATGTGCTCATCTTGTAGACATACCTTGGACAGATCATCTAGCTAGATCAATAGGCCCAACTAAGGTAGAGAAATTTTCTCATAAAAATCCTAATGCCAAAAGACCCAAATGTTTTGCCACTAATGTCAGAATGGTGCTGAGACAGGCTGGGTTTCTTTAATGACTGTCTCTGTGTAAGAAACTCTGGTATGTGGAATTTCGCCAAAGAAACAGAGGTACTGAGCTTTTAAAATCTGCAAGCTGAAGAGGCAATAGGCAGGCGCCATCAATTGAAGGACTAGCAGATAAGCGCTTGAGTAAGACCAGGCCTAGAAGGTATAGCAGCAGCAGACCTCCCGCTACGACCTCTAGGATGTCTATAAACTAATATGAATAGGGCAAATAAATACATATTTAAAAATAATGTAAACTATTGTGGTTAACTTTAATTTTATACATCTACATGCAACTATTAATATGGTATACAATGGAATTATGTAGGTTTACATGTCACACACATGTTTTATCACATTTAACTGATGGTCGCTGGGTGACTGGCTGCCGCGCAACGTGTCGCGGGTTCGATTCTCGCACGGAACAATGCTTTGTGTGATCTACAAATTGTAGTTTCCAGTCTGGGTGTTGTGTGTATGTGAAATTATATGTTTGTAAAAGCACCCACGACAGAAGATCTCAATGTAGGGCAATGTTTTTTTTAAAAAAAGAAAAATAAAAAAATAATTGTTGAATGAGTTCTGAATATAACCACTTACTGAGATTCATTGAGTGCTGCTCCATAACAACTGCCACATGTGATTACTGCCACCTCAGAAATGTTTTGTTTCACCTAAAAATATACATTTTCGGGTTTATTAATTATTAGCATTGAGTGCTACTAAAAGTATATGAAATTAAGTATAATAAATAGGAAATTTAGCTTAAGGTCTCCTGAGTATCATCAGTGAGGGTTTGGCAAGAAGCTTAATGATTTTTGCAAGTTTTATGTACCTATGTTCTAAGTTTTTTAAACATCATTATTATAAAGGAAATTATGAGCCTTAAATTAAATTTTGTGTTCAAAATCCCCAATCCCTGAGTAAGCTTTTTACTAAGTATTACTGCCTTATAGAAGGGCAACTAATACAAGTCATATATTAACCTGTGTAATTAATGTGTTGATTGACTTGTCTAGTCAGAGTTTTCATTTGTTTCAAATACTGAGTAATTTATTACAAACTTCTACTATCACACTTATAATTTAACATCTTAAAAATACAATGCACCTGAAAGAACTGAACATACTGAGCTATAAAAGTTCCTTTCAAATCAATTTGACTTTAACATATATATAAAGAATTGTTTCACTATTATCATATAGGTTGTCCCCTCTTCTTTTCTGAAATAGACCTGACCTCAGCAATCACAGCATAAAAGGCAAAGAAAAAAAAATGTTCCAAATATTTTCCTAATTAAAGGTTCTATGTTAGCTTTCTCACCACTAACAGAAAAAATAGGAATAAGTGGATCTAACAGGGTAGACGGATATTTGTAATTAATTGTCAAAAAAGAGTTCAGTAAACTTACTGTAGTAGAAGTGGCAACTTCTTGCTTTTTTGGTTCTTCTATAGGATTTCCATTGAGATCTAATCTTCTCTTGTGAATGTTTTGTTCCATTTGTAGATGCTGTTCTCCTGATGAATCCATAGCATCAAGGACTAAATCTAAATAAAGGCAGAACAATACAATTATTGACAAAAATTGTATGTTTTAACAGACTGATGTAGTTAAATATGTGTAAAGATAATAGAATTAATGCACTAATTTTATTTTAAGTGATAATCAGTGGTTCAAAATTAATTATAGATAATATTTTTATTAGCATTAATTGGGAATAAAGTTAAATAATAGGACACTTCGTAAAGATAGAAGTAACAATATTGATATTAACATAATCCTATTTTTAACAGAAATAAGAAAACTTAATGCATACGTACAATTACATGAGATTGTTGGGACGATAATATCTAAATTTATTCGTAGTTTATGGCCTCTTGATGTATCTACGAATAGTTCTTCGGAAATATTTGGTGACATGTAAGTATACAGCTCAGATAGAAACAATAACACCATTAACAGTCCGCCGGCTACAGTAACTACAACAAAATGTGCATTCATATAAAATTAAAAATAATTTTTACTTTAAGTTTATTGAATTATAGGCTGTTATTGCCAACATACTTGCTGCGCCGGTTGCAGTTTTTATTCGGAAGTCTTCTAATGTCTTTGCATACGCATCTAATTGTTTAAACTTATCAATTAATTGAGATGTCATCGTATTGTAATCTCAAGACTTAATTACAGAAACTTTGTCTTTTCTCTTCAGAAAAATTAGATGTTTTCTATTTTGAGTTTGAACTACTTAACTTCACGCACTGGCATTACTGGCACTTCAGATTGTCAGCTGTCATTGTCGGGTTGTCCAAATGTCATTTGTTGCTTGTTAGATTTACAAAATAGAAAGCGTTCTGATTGGCAAATCATTATTAAGCTACCAATCATATGGTTTTATGTGTCTTCAACTTCGAGTTACGAATTATTATTGTTTGAAATTAGGTATTGTTCTTTACTTATGGTACATAGTTTGTTTTATTGAATTAATGTTAGTAATAATAACTGTATTAGTATGAAATAAGTTAATAAGCCCCACGCGCTAGTATGCTCTCTTAATTTTTACTATATTTTAATACTCAGTGTTAGCGATGACCCCAAATTATAGTAAGATGTCTTTTCCAATAACTAATTTAAGCGTTGAAATGAATGTTAAATTATCGAATGATCAGTAATAATTAACGTAAGTAAAGTAATTTACGTAAGATATTATGAATATAATTAATAATAGAAAAATATTAATGTGATATTGTATAAAATAAAAGAAAAGAATTTGTAATTATGTAATTATTGTATGATGGTCGCAAAAGCTTAAGTACCACGAAGCTTTACCGTAGCGAGAACATGTAATAGTTTTTTACGATTTTAAAGCAGGAAAATGTTTATTTTATGTCTGTAAAAAAAAATATAATATGTATATAGTTTTAAGAGTAAAATGTTAGAATAAGTTATTATTAATGTAAAAATAATATTTACCACCTTGTAAAGGATGCCCAAATACGGAAAACTGAAAAATAAGATTTCCCCATACAAAGTAGACAATTTCTAAGTGTAAAAACCTAAAACGCTCTGATTGGCTGCCGCCAAAATGCATAGTGCCGTGTACAAACTCCGAGCGTTCTGATTGGCTGAAGGTCTCTATAAAAGAAGGCAGTTTTCCTTGGTTGGGCATTCTGAATTCAGCAGTACTACGAAAAGGAATAAGGAAAATAAAAGAAGAACTTTACAATCAAGGAAGTGTTTATTCTGAACGCCGACACCTCTTGCCAAACTACTCCCGCCAACGCAAAATAAATTCATTCTACAGCCACAGCTGCAACACTCAGAATCCACTTCAAAAAATACTAGTATACCTACTACATTTAAAAACCAATTCATAAGATGTGAGGTGTCTTTTTTTAAGGAAGATACCTATTATTTTTATGAAGTTAAACTCAATTAATTGAGAGAAAATTTTAACTTCATAAAAATAATAGGTATCTTCCTGATATTCTATTTCGCAAACGACACATTACATCACATTCTAAATTAATTATTAATTAATTTAGAATGTCTCACGAAAGTTGTAATAAAAGGAAGTTAAAATCTGGTACAAGTATGGTGGATTTTCTGTAAAAGCCTCTTTAGAAGCACTTTTCTATGAGCCAAGCTTTTAAATTCTTTTTAGATGATTAATGTTGTCAGGGGAAAATCATCCAATGACTTCTCCCGCCCAGGGTGAGGCGAGAGAGTCTACCTAAATAACGGCAGGAGGGGTTACCATCGGCGTAGCGAGTCGGTGATGAAGTACCTGGGTCTTGTCCTCAATAGCCGGTGGAACTTTACGGAGCTTTTTCGACGTTTAGCTCCCAAGTTGGAGCGGACTGGGGCCGCGCTCAAGCGGCTCCTTCCCAACCTGGGAGGCCAGACGCCTCCTGCCGGAGGTGGATCATGCGATCCATGGCCCTCTACGCGGCGCCGGAGTTGAGGCGGCGGCCAGCTCGTAAGCTGGTCGCGTCCCTGAGGGTCATGGCTATTCGGATAATCCGTGGATATCGCACGATCTCTGGGGAGGCGGCGAACCTCCTTGCCGGATCACCGACGTGGTATCTGGAAGCGAAGACGCTCGCGTGCGACTACTATTGCGCGCAGACGCGCGCCGCCGGGGCGAGGATTCACTGCCGAGCCAAATTAGTGCGTGGCGGAATGAGCTCCGGCGAGATCTCATGGCAGAGTGGAAGCAACGACTCTCGCAACCGAGGGCCGGCGTGCCCGTCCCTCGGTTACATCGGTTGGTCGTGTTATAGCAGCGGTAAGACCCCTCTTTGAGGAGTGGCTTGAGAGACGCCACGGTGTCCTCACCTTCCGCCTGACGCAGGTGCTTATCGGGCACGGCAGTTTGCCGTTTCGGATTCGGCGGGAAGAAACGCCCGTGTGTCGTCACTGTGAGGATCACCCAGAGGACCCGGTGGAGCATACGCCATGTCCTCAGGTAAGTGATCGACAGCGGCGTTCGCTTGCGCCCGGCCTTAGTCGAGGTCATGGTGCGGAGTGAAGGAACTGGGAAGCCGTCTCCTCTTTCTGCTCGCAAAGGACGAGGCGGAGCGCGTGAGGGAACTATCCTCCTCACGCCCCAGCCACCGCAGTGGAAGACACACGCGACCGTGAGCGCGGGTCCGCGGATGGCGAAGTAAGGGTGGCTCGCCGCCTGACCAGAACCAGACCCAAGCGTGCGGCGCGTTATGTTTCGCGCGCTCCTCAAAGAGCCAATACATAGCCTTGGTTGCGGGTCATGTTCACAAAAAAGGCAAATCTTGTGTATTTATGATGTTTTTAGCATCGTATAACCAACTAAAGGTTATTACCAACTAATAAGTAAGTAGTAACTAACATTTTTGATCACAATCGTTTCAGAAGTAAAGAATCTATTTAATTGTCTAGCTATGATACCCGGCTTTGCTCGGGAGTTGATATGAGATTACATGGTAGATGAAATAAAAAGTTAAAAATAGATTTTGAAGACATTTTCTATTTTTACATTTATTTGCATTTTCTCATTATTTAAACTAGTTTATAAGCATTATTTTTCATTTTAGGTATTGGCCGGGGTATAAACCGCCGCGGACGCCGGCGCCGCGCCCGCGTACCTATATACCTATATGTATAATTTTTGTTCTAACTTCCTACTCTTGAGCAAGTTACGTATAGGTAGCTGACCGTTCTAGATAGAATGTTCTCGACATTATCGTCCACCGTAACAATAGGTACTGCAGCTGTAGCATTTGCATTAAAGGCGCGAAATATAAAAACTATTTTTTTTATAGTTAACTTTTAATCGATTGTTTTGCAGCTTCTTTTCAATCAACTGTTTTTGCTTTTTTCAATTACAAAGCAAATTTCTATGCTGCCAGCTAAGATGGAGCTAGTGTTTATACAATAAGTATTAGAATGAAATGGGATTTTGATATAAATAATTACAATTTTAAAATAACTAAAATGGTGATGAATGGTAACTCCATCATATAAGTTAGCTACTGCTGTATAAATACACTAATATAATTTAAGACTTTATTGAAACTGGAATTTTAAATAATCGTATAATCGTTAAAATAATCGTTCTTTTAACTCCATGTTATGTACAATGAATGAAATTCAACTACTCAACAACAGATGGCGCCACTTACTTACTTTCCAAGTTGTAGGGTTAGGAAAGCCAATATCTTTAAAGACACATCCTTTAATTTAAAACGGGAACATTCTTGTTCGAGGGGGAATAAAGGGCTATCACACAATATAAGTCCCTTTATCGTGTTGGGACTGGGACTCCTTTTTAAGTTTTATCGGCACGCACATTTTATCAACTTAGTTTTATTATAGGTATACAAGCTACTCTCTCGCGGTTTCACCCGCTGCTCGGCTCCATTTAATCTTAGCGTGATGTTTATAGCCTATAGCACTCAGGAACATTGTACTTAGCTATCTATCAGTGAAAGAATTTTGGCAATCCGACCAGCGGTTCCAAAGATTACCCCCTACATACAAACTTACAAACATACAAAGTTAGAAACTTACAAATTTTACCTCTTTATAATATTAGTATAGACTAGCTTTTACCCGCGACTTCGTCCGCGTTTTATTAGTTTTCCGTGTCTTGATGTTACAGACAGATATACTTTCGTATTATATATGGAACTATAATATAGTAGGGAACTATAATATTTCCATCCACATTCATATGGATGCTCACGGTGGCCGAAGATCGCCTCTCGATCCCTGACACCCGAAGTGTCGCCTACTGCGGCAGCTAGGGCGTGAGGAGGAAGATGGCTTCCTCACGCCGTCTGCCTCTTTCTTTGCGAGCATAACTGCTTCACAAATAGATGAGACGGCTTCCCAGTTCCTCTCGCTACGCACCATGGCTTCGACCGGGAGCGAGAGGTCGGTGCTCAGCCCAAGCAGGGCACACCGCCACCGTATGCTCCACCGCATCCTCAGGGCGGTCCTTACAATGAAGACACTCCGGTGTTTCCTTCCGCCGGATCCGAAACAGGAACCTACCGAAGCTACTGTGCGCGGTAAGTAGCTGCGTCAGGCTCAAGATGAATGCCGTGGATCTACAAATGATGAAAGTTCTGCACTGTATGTTATAATAATCTCAAATAGAAACACGTTATTAGGATGAACGGTGTACACTTTACTAAGAACACGTTTTTTGAAAATACGTGACTCCTCATTGCTTATCGTAGGTATAATACGACGAAACTTCCTCATACCAGGTTGGTGCCGAGCCCGGCAACCGTTACACAAAAATAGGTTACAACACTCAGGGTATCAAAGCATCTTATGGTAGTCATTATGTTTATCCCCGAAAATAATCCTCATAGAATGATTGACTGTTCACGTGCGAACGGGCGCGATGGCTTGTTAGCCTATTTCATGTATAGGTAAGTTTGTCTTTACCGATTAGTATGATTATTTTTTTATTGAATAGATAATAATATAAACTTTTTAAAGTACGGATAAGTGAGAGTATTTTAAACGTAAGCGTAAACAAATATAATCAGTATACTCCGAAATGCTAAGCTATCAGGTGTTACACGAGATATTGTGAGTCAACCAAAAAAGATATACTGTTGTGGAATATTTTGTAGATTTAATTTTATGTAGAACATTTCCGTGTTACATGATTTCTCTTGTCGACAGACAGACAAAAATTTGACTGATTGCATTTTTGGCATCAGTATCGATCATTTATCACGTCCTGGTATTTATTTCGAAAATATATGTAGTATATTTAATGTACAGAATTGACCTCTCTACGAT